TAGTAGATTGCATTTTTCTTCACTATATTAATTGATGCTCTCTGTGGGAAAAATATACACACCTGTCCCATTTAGGTCAGGTTTTCCCTTATGACTTGCTGGGGCCAATGAAATGTGTGTCACTTCTAATCGGCCTACTTAAGAACCATGGTGTGGTTCCATTATGCTTTCTCGTCTTCCCTTCTACAAGATAGATCATGTTCCAGAGGGAAACTGCTCTCAGAATGTATTTCAGAATGAAGATGACATTGAGTAGAGTTATAGGCCTTCTGCAGTGAACCTAAAGGCTGAGCAAGAAATAAATTTTTGTTTTAAACCACTGAGATATTGGAACTGTTTATTGCCACAAAATAATCTAATCCAAGATAGGTGCATATTCAATAAATGTTGAAGAAAATAAGAAAAGTTGAAGAGAAATAGAAGGTAAACTTTGACTGGAGGATTCCAGAGTTAATTTTGTTTTAAACAACAACCTTCTGTTGAAAACAGATAAGAATTAAACTTTTATGTATTGATAATTATGAGAAATAATGGGAATTGGGGTTTGAGAGGAGAAAGAAGGAAGGTAGATCATAGAATAGGAGTATATGTGTAATCTTAGGGGCAAATGAAAATAAGTTCTTGCTAGACGTCATTAAGATGTCTGCAGGGAAGAATTAAAGGAATCTAAGGTATCTACTAAGGAGGTGTTTTGAGAATTGTTACGTAATGAAGAGTCCTCTTTTAGTTAAGACAACCTAAGTAATTTCAAAATGTTTTTTTCCCCCATTTCAAATATCAGTTACTCTGTTTCTATAGCTAAAGAAAGACTGAATGCCTGACTAAAAGAACATTCAAATTAAGAATTTATATGTACACTGAATTCTTGTTATTCACGGTAGTTATGTTCTAACTGTGCACTGAACACTGAATAAGTGAATATTGACCATTGCTTCTGCGAGAAATATAGACATAAATTGCCATGAGTTTCTAGTCACAACATTTTCATCAACTGAGTCAAAACATGAACTTGCTTATGCTTGTTCCAGTATGAAAACACTTTATTTTATGTATATTTTTGGTTTATTAACATTAAACTCACAGAAACAGCACTTGACTCATGCCCAAATGCAGATGGTTTAATATATAGATTTTCTATGTAAGATATAGTGCAGCCTTCTTGCACTTGGAAACTCTGGATAACAGAGTAACACAATGCTTGGGGCTATTTTGAACAGCAAAATTGATTTTTTTAAAAAACACAAAAATATATTTTAGCCAATAGGCAAATCTGAAAATAGAGGATCTGCATATAGAGGATGGACTGACTCCTTATTAAAGAATTGGAAAGAAAATAATGAAATGAATTAGAGGAGATGGATAAAATACCCCCCAGTGAAAAGAGAGAGAAATTAGGTGAATGGGTGGCTGGATAGCTGGCTGCATGGATGGATGGATGGATGGATGGATAGATGGATGGATGGATGGATGGATGGATGGATGGATGGATGGGTGGATGGACGGACGGACGGACTGATAGCTAGATAGGAGATTGACACATACATACATACATACATACACACATACAATCAAAATCTAGAAAAGTGTCTTAAATGTGGTACATTCCCAGTTTATTTTCTCTTCCTGCCCCCTTTTTCCTGATTTGGTAACATATTTGTCACCCAATGGTATTAAAGTAGTGCCAGAATCTCGGCAGTCCACTCTATCAATGCAATAGAATGTACTGGATAGTAGAAAAGTAAGCTCAAGTTTTCTTGGTATTTCATTTTACTTTTTAATTTATTATTTCTTACTTAGAGATACCCTATCATTTTAACACAAATCTTAGAAGTACCTTTTTATGAAAAGGTTAATATTTAATAAACTAAGGTCAATACAGCACCATCTAACTTAGCCAGCATGGAAGGCACTTTCTTGAGACTTACATAGCAGATAATCCCCAATAAGTTTTAATAGAATAATCCTGTTTTGTCACATAGATATTGGAATTTTCTGTTTACATACAAACTCCTCTATGATTTTTATTTTACTGTTGAACAAAAACATATGGGCCGAAATTATTTTAAACCCACAACTCTAACTTAGAGGCTCCTAATAAAATATAATCACTGGCTAAATTCTTAAATGTGGAAAAGAGATTTATACCTTAAAAAAAAAGCCAAAGCCCTGACCAACACAGGTTTGATCTTTGGTGGGGGTGCATACAGGAGGCAGCAGATCAATGTTTCTCTGACATAAGTGTCTTTCTCTACCTCCCTCTCTCCCTCCCTCACTCTAAAATCAATAAAAACACATGCTAAGGTGAGGATTAAAAAAATAATAATCAGAAGAAAGCCAAAGAACACGATGAGAAATGAGGAAATTAACACACTCTGGTTCTGACACTATTTTATGGAAATATAACCTCCAAAAAACTTTATCAGGGTAGGCTTTTCCAATCCCCATTAAATTCAGTGAATGAATTATGAACGGTAAATTGGACCCATTATCATCTTACATGTCTTATGTAACATTCATAATCACAGCATTGCACGAGAGCAAGCTAGTGTGAACAAAAGGAGCAGTTTAAACTCTCTCTTCGCAGAATGGGTGCTTGACAAACAGAGCTGCTTCTTGTCCCACTCACAGCACGCCCATGCATCTCCTCCAGTGCCAATGAGACCCACACTCTCATAGCAACGATATAATAAATCCTCCAAAACAGAGGGAGAAAATGAGGCAAACAAGCCCACTTCATTTCAATTTGTCAGCTTTAAATAAAATCTTCTGTAGCTGAAAATGAGAATCTTGAGGGAAGATAATGTGTGAAGTAACAAAATTCAACACTGGGACAAAACATATTGCATTATTATTTTGTTCCTGATCTGCCACAAAAGTTTTTGAAATTTCACCATAGATCATTTTAATGAAATACCTTCTTGTCAAAGAGGACTGAGAGAAAGAAACAGCTTAATTTTTTTCTCTTCTTCCATCCACTGAGGCCATAGGAAATATCTCAAGATGTCTCAAGCCCCTATGCTATCTTAATGCATAATCTTTGACCTTTGGAACAATTTTCACTATCAAGTTTTAAGTCAGAGTTGTTATAAAAGAGTATACTGGAAAAAACAAAATGCTTTTTACACTTACGTTAATTAATTACTTACATAGTCCTTCCCCTGGTACTGATTGTATATGCAAAATGTTGGAGCGTGCTCTCTGCCTGCAGAAATAAAGTAGAAAGGATAAAAACGCATTTGAAGGATGATAAAAGGAAATTAACATTCTGATAAATAGAAATAGCTGATGCCAATAAAGTAAACAAGGATTGTTAACATAAATCTTTTCCTTCACCCTTTCCCCAGTGCCCACTCCCCCTAACCCAAATTATTGCCAAGCACTTAAATAAAGCATTCAGGAGGCTCCATTCTGTTCTTCCAGTCAACCCTTTTCTTATCCCATTCTTCCCTCTTGGATGTTTTGTTTTTTAATGTTAAATTTTCCCTTGACTTTATCTTTCTTGAAAGAGCACTTGCACCTCTTCAAAGGAAGGCCAGCACCACTGGGTCCCAGCAGACACACAGCACAAGTTGTACAAATTCCAGTGGGAGAGAGGGTGGGAAAAGACAGTGTCTTTTTTCCTGAGTGTCCTAAGGTGTGAACAGATTTGATACAAACATCATTTCATATCTTTTATTTCCAACGTTGTGTCTCATGTGTTTTTCTAATAAGTCTATGTTACTTCTCATTCTGTTATACTCAGACCGTTGTAACAGGATCTCTCTGATTTTAGCTCCTTTATTTTAAAATTCCTAGATCACCTTGAGTGATCAGTGCACAGAATGATAGCAGTGTTGCAGAGCATGTTCCCTGATGCCATCCTTGATGGCACATTGTTAAGATGCTCTTTCAATCACTCTAATATAGAACATAATTTCATACGTGTATTTAAAATACATTAGAGAAATTTGTAGGATAGGTAAGAATATATGAGCTATGCACTGCAAGGACTTCAGTTTGTGGCCCTGACCAATCAATGTTTAATAGAATATCCATAATCAATCAGTAACATTTTTTAACCTTTTATAATTCACTTGTAAAATGTCAAAAAAAAAAGAGTATCACATCACAGATTGCTTAAATTAATAATAAGTATGTCTTAGAAATATTTTATGCTAATTTTATGATCATTATAATAATTACTATTAAGAAAAAAAGTATTGCCCTGGCTGGTTTGGCTCAGCGGTTGGAGCGTCCGCCTGCGGTCTGGAGAGACCCGGGTTCGGTTGCCGCTAAGGGCACGTGCCTCGGTTGCAGTTTGTCCCCGGCCCTGGTTGGTCGTGTGGGTGGCAGCCACTCGATGTGTCCCTTTCACAGCGATGTTTCCCTCTCTCTCTCTTCCTCTCTCTCCCTCCCACTCTGTCTGTACAAAAAAAAAAAAAAGAAAAAAAGTATTTAGCCCTGGCCGGTTTGGTTCGGTGGTTAGAGCGTCAGCCTGCAGTTCAGAGAGACGCGGGTTTGGTTCCCGCTAAGGGCACATACCTCGGTGGCAGTTTGTCCCTGGCCCTGGTTGGGTTGTGCGGGTGACAGCCACTCGATGTGTCCCTTTCACGTTGATGTTTCTCTCTCTCTCTCTCTCCCTCCCACTCCATCTGAACAAAAAATGGAAAAATGTCCTCAGGTGAGGATAAAAAAAAAAAAACGTATTTAAAGTTAACTTGACCTAGTTATAAATGTTCAGTAAATAGTGTTAATGGTGTTTTTATGCAGCTTCCAAGCATATATTGTATTTTACAACCAGTAAAATAACTCCATTCGGTTATTCTCTGCAGTTCAAGGCAACACCCAAAGTTTCCATCGTGTTTTGCATTTTTTATTTAACAAGCTACTATCTCAATAATCATATAGGTGTAATGCAGGACCATGGTGTGGCCTGAAGTAGCCATTTGTTGACATCTTTTCAAAAGGAAAGCCAATGGAATTATTTGTTCTAAGATGAGCGGTTTTCTCTTTCCCCACAGTGATGGCTGGGCTGACAGGTATGATGTGACAGATGGATATCAGCGAGAAGCTGTTGGTGGAATCACAATCAAGCTTCAATCTCCCGATGTCAAGTGGTTTGATGACTATTATCTGCAGCTCCGGCCAGAAACCAACCTCCGAAACCCTTGGTTTCAAGAATTTTGGCAGCATCGTTTTCAGTGCCGGCTGGAAGGGTTTGCGCAGGAGAACAGCCAATACAACAAGACCTGCAACAGTAAGCAGATGCATTGTTTCATTTGAAGTGGATAAGGCTGAGGCTGCAATTTAAGTGCACGATGTCAAGGGCATAGTGGCTGTAACCTGTTAGAGAGGAGGGCTCTTACATAACCTCTTTTATACTAATGTTCTTCTTGTCCCACTACTTGTTGTCTGAAGTGTCTTCTCCTTGAAATAGTTCTTTCATTTTTTTCCTGCTGGGAGTCTTAGTTAGATATAGTCTTGGAAAACCTCTTTAATTTATTTCCATGGAAACATTATTTCTATGGAAACAGTCTGCAAAACCCTCCTTTTAAACCTGTTGCTGTGGCTCTCTGTCTCTCACATGAGCACCCTGATGTGATTTCTCTACTCAGAATCTGTTCCTTATTCTAGTACTGGAAACCATTCCTTAATCCTCCACCATTTGGAACCTTACCTGACACCAGATATCATTTCCTACATTATTCTTCTCCATGAGGGAAGCACTATTACTATCCTTAATTTTTTTCTTAATGATCTTTTTAAAAATTTATTTATCATTGACAGTATTACAGATATCCTTCATTTTCCCCCAATTTCTCCCCACCACCCAGCCCCTGCCCCACCCCAGGCCTTCACCACATGATTGTCTGTGTCCATAGGATATGCATATATGTTCTTTGTTTAATCTCTGCCTGTACCCCCCCACACACACACACACACACTAAGATGTGTCATTCTGTTCTGTGCATCCATGCCTCTGGACCTATTTTGTTCATCGGTTTATTTTGTTCATTAGATTCCACAAATAAGTGAGATCAAGGAATATTTGTCTTTCTCTGACTGGCTTATTTCACTTAGCATAATAATCTCCAGGTCAATCCATGATGTAGCAAAGGTAAGAGATCCTTCTTTTTTACAGCCGCATAGTATTCCATTGTGTAAATGTACCACAGCTTTTTTATCCACTTATCTACTGGGGGATGCTTTTGCTGTTTCCAGATCTTAGCTATTCTAAATAGTGTTGCTATCAACATAGGGGTGCATATACTCTTTCTGATTTCTGTTTTAGGATATACTCCCAGAAGTGGGATCTCTAAGTCAAATGGTAGTTCCATTTTTAATTTTTTGAGGAAACTCCACACTGTTTTTCACAGTGGCTACACCAGTCTGCATCCCACCAGCAGTGCACTAGGGTTCCCTTTTCACCACATCCTCTCCAGCATTTGTTGCTTATTGATTTATTGATGGTAGCTATTCTGGCATGTGTGAGAAGGTATATCCTTGTCTTTATAATTTGTATTTCTCTGATGATTAGTGGCATTGAGGACATACAGATGGCCAATAGACATATAAAACAATGTTCAATATCACTAATTATCCTTATTTTAAAGATAATAAAACCAAGATTTAGAGAGACAAAATAACTTGTTCAAGATCACATAACAATTAAACAATGAAAATTAGAATTAAATTTATATTTGTCTAGAGTTTAACTAATATACTGCACTAAAATGGTAGAGTATTATAGTTTTAAAAATATCTCCATCATATTTGTATTACATAATCATCATTTTATAAGTCAAAGATACCAAAAACAAAAATAAATCCTAAAATATTTTGTGCATGCTATAAAATGCAATACTAGATCCTCAAATAGTCACTAATCTCTACTTTTGACCTTATTTCATATTTACTCAAAAATCCTTTTAGCATCTCAATCCCCACCTTGAAAAAGACCTCCAGTAGTTGATCCATATCTGTAACTACTACATATGTATAAGAGGTCTCTAAATATAGGAAGAGGTAAAAAGAGGTTTATAGTTGTTTTTATGGGAAAATAATACAATAATTAATAAATAATAGTACAAGAATATACTTCATGTTTCGTGTACTCACAACTGTAAACCTACTTTTGCCCACCCCCTATAATGTTCTTAAGCCCTTTCATCAGGCAGTGTGCATAAGCCAACTACTTTTGAGTTGAAATGGTAAGAAATATTGATTTTTTATTCATTTCAGAAAAGAAAGTTTTACCTTATTCACTGTCTATAGTAACTTAAACCTAATAGATAGTTCAATAAGCAGAATGTCTTGACACAAATAGTAGAAATACCCATAGCTTCTTAGTAGCTTCTTGGGCAGCAAAGTGTAAAAGCTAAGAGAGACATGGCTTAGGCCAAACCTAGTATTCTAGAACTATCAATGACCTTATAAAGAATGAAGTATTAAAAAGTTGAGTAACCAGAAAGTTTAAGGAAAACTCCTAATCTTGAATAAGTAACAAAGCCATCCTGGAAATAGACCAACTCCTAGAAATTAATTCTAAATAGATTACAAATAAGCAAATAAGTGATTATCTTTTCTTTTAATTTTTATATTGACTTTTGGAGAAGAAACAGAGAGGGAGAGAGAGAGAGAAATCAATGTGAGAGAGAAATTGGCTCCCACATGTCCCCTAACAGGGGATTGAACCCACAACCTGGATGTGTGCCTTGACGGGGAATCAAACTTGCCACCTTTTAGTATATGGGATGACGTTCCAAACAACTGAGCCACACCAGCCAGGGCAATAAGTGATTTTCGTGATTTTCTAATCTGAATGGAAAACCAATGCAACTAATGGCAGTGCAGTGTTATTGGCAAAGCCACTAATACTACATTGTACAATTTTCCAAGTATAATTTAGTTTTCTTTAGAATGATTTATTCATGATTTATAACACCTAGATGACAGTCTTTCATATAGCCTCTTGCAATTTCCCACTCAAGTATCAACGATTACATCAATAACAAAAGCAAAACAAAACTTATAGAACAACAATCTTAACTAAAAATGACAGCCATCAAAATATCAATGCCTGGAGGACTTTCACTAAATAGCTATAAGACCTATGAAGTAATAAAAAAGGTCAATAGAGTCTCTTTTCACATGTGTGCATGTGAATGCAAACACACACACACACACACACACACACACACACACGCACTAATGAGTAAAATAGTCGTGTGGAAAAAGAAAACTAAAGAAACTACTGTATGGGGATGAGTAAGGTTTTACTAAAAAAAATAAAGTGATAGAATATATGAGAATTAGACTAAAATAAAAATTGTTAAGTGCTTGGATTAAGAAGCATAAAAAACAAAGTTAAAAGGAAAATAAGATGGCAAATATGACAATCCAAATATTGGTTTTCTTACAAGAACTCATTCAACATCACAATATAAATATTTAAAAACAAATGTATAATGGATATAGTAGCAGATGTTTCATAGAAAATTAGAAATGCTTAATAAATATAAAAAATTCACTCTCATTGTTAATTATAAAACTGCAAATGTTATTTTTATCTTTCTATACTTTTCAAACATTCTAAAATAAGGACAAGTTATTTCTTATTTTTGAAAAAGCATTTAAAACAATTATTTCAGGACCCGCCCACCCACCCCACACACACAGATTTTTAAGGCAGGTAATTTACTATGTGTGGTGTACTATGTATGTGTGTGTATGTGTGTGTGTTGTTGTGGATACATATATATCTTAAGTGTACAGCTTTATAAGTTTTACATATTTACATCTCTGTAATTATCACCCAAAGCAACAATATCAGAAAGTCCCCTTGTTCCTAATCCTAATAAATAACATACCTAATTAATATGGATTCTTTCAGTGTCCATTAGTATTGCCTATCCTGGTACACTATAAAAATATAATCTTACATTATTTACTTGTCATGTCTAGCTTATTCCCCACAGTATAATGCTGTAGGGCTCATCTCCACTCTTTGATGTAGCAGCAGTTTATTCCTTTGTATTACTGTGTAGTGTTCCTTTGTATACATATCAGAATTTATCAGTTCTCTTAGAGTTGGACATTGGGATTGTTTACAGTTTTAAGTATTATAAATAAAGCTTTTATGAACATTCTTGTATGTATATTCTGGCAGACATATATCCTAATTCCTGTTAGATGTATACACAGTAATGGAATTGCTAGGTCATAGGCTAAGCATATGTTTAGATTTAGTAGTTAATGCCAACCAGTTTTCCAAAGTGGTTAAACTAATTTATGTTTTACTGAAATGTGTGACAGTTTAAGTTGCTCTGCACCCTTGCCAACATTTGTTTGTTTGTTTTTTAAACATTCTATGAGTGTGTAGTTGTATTATATTATGATTTTGATAGGCATTTCCATTATATATTATGAAGTTAAGCTTCTTTTCATGCTTATTGGAAATTTGGGCATACTTTTGTAAAGTGTCTGTTCAAACCTTTTGCACATTTCTTTGAATTGATTACCTTTTTAATATCTATTTTAAGAGTTCCTCATGTACTGTGGATATGAGTACTTTTTAAATATATGTATCGTGAAAATTGCCCAATTGGAGCACAGTTTACTTACTATTTCCTGTTTCTCTTATTTGCTATTTATTTTCTATTCATCCAACTTGTTCTTTAATTCTTTATTCCTCCTTTTTTACTGCCTTCTTTTGGAATTGAGAATTTTTTTATTCTATTCTACCACCCATCTCAACAGTTTTATTTCATTTCTTAATATAATTCATTTAGAATTTCCAATATAAGTTACTAAAGGAATCTTAATTTACTACAAACTATTTTAAGTTGGTTCTTGTTTACATTCAGCAATCTTGCATATATTTAAGTTAATTTCCCCCCTCACACTTTTTTTTGCTGTTGCTATATAATTCACTATTATATGTGTTATATATAGTACTGCAGAGCTTTGCTGGGATATTTGCTAGAGATAGTCAACAGTGTCCAGAGCTCTTCATTACTTTCATCTGTGAGTCTTTCAGCCTGAAGAATTTTCTTCAGTATTTCTTGTATGTAGGTCTACTGCCAGCAAATTCCACAAGCTTTTTTTCCTGAGAGTACCTTTATATCACATTTAGTTTTGAAGGATCTACCCATTGAATAGAGCATCCTATGTTGGCAGTTCTTTTCTTTTACTTTTTTTAAAATTGTTGACACTATCACAGATACCCCATCCCCACCCCTTTGCCCACCTCCACCC